TCGCCAGCGCCGCCCCGTCAGCGACTAGGCTGCTCCTGACCTACTGAGGCCGGAGGAGATGGACGCCGCCCTGACTCGATGGATCCGGTAGTCCAGGGAGCGAACTTCCCTAGAGCTGCGGGACCTTCGTACCGGGAAATCACTGGCGACCAGAAGCTCACTCAGGAAGTTGACTCCCATGCTCGACGATGAGGGGTCCTGCGGGTTGGCGGGCGGCTGAAACACGCTGTTCTGGATGCCGACCAGCGACACCCCAGTCATCCTACCACCGGAATCTCACCTCACCTACCTGGTGATCGATGCCGCTCACAGACGCACCCTGCATGGTGGAGTCCAGTCCACCGTGGGGAACATCAGGGAACGGTTTTGGATCCCACGCACGCGCCGTCAACTGGTACGAAGCCACATACATCGCTGCCTACCTTGCGTACGATGGCGGGCGGCCACTCCGCAACCGAAGATGGAGATCTGCCGAGGACGCGGGTCACACCAGTCGACCCTTCCTTCACACCGGCGTGGACCTCGCTGGCCCAGTCTGGCTCAGGACGACGAAGGGCCGCGGTCACAAAGCCCACAAGGGCTTCCTGGTAATCTTCGTATGTTTCAGCACTCGCGCCGTCCACCTGGAGGTGACCAGCGACTACTCTGCCGAAGCCTTCCTCGCCGCCTTTCGCCGGTTCGTGTCGCGTCGAGGGAGATGCACGGCCCTGTATAGCGACTGCGGCACCAATTTTGTAGGTGCGGATCGACAACTTAGAGAGCTCTTCAGGGCAGCGAGCGGCGAAGTCCACGCCCTCGTTGGCCGCCTAGCAGACGAGGGAGTTTCGGTGGGTCTTCAACCCACCGTCGGCTTCCCATTTCGGCGGCCTGTGGGAGGCGGCTGTCAAGGCCGTCAAACATCACCTGCGGCGCACCATCGGAGAGGCTAAGCTCACCTTCGAGGAGCTGTCCACACTCCTCGCGGAGGTCGAAGCCTGCCTAAACTCAAGGCCCCTCGGGCCTTGTCGGATGATCCAGACGACCTTGACGCCCTGACGCCGGGACACTTCCTGGTGGGAGGGCCTCTCCTCAGCATCCCGGAGCCGTCCCTCTTGGACGCCCCTCCTAACCGTCTGAACCGGTGGCGACTTCTGCAGCAGATGCGGGATCACCTCTGGCAGCGATGGACTCGCGAATACCTGCAGGGACTCACACCACGGCCCAAGTGGTGGACCTCCCGGGGGAACCTCTGCAAAGGTCAGCTGTGCCTCATCAAAGGAGAGAGCACCCCGCCGTGCCGGTGGCCGCTTGCCCGAGTTACGCGCTTCCACCCGGGCGAGGATGGCCAAGTGCGCGTGGTGGACGACCGCACCACCGTCGGTGAACTGACCCGGCCAGTGGTCAAGCTGGTCCCACTGCCGACGGTAGCCGCCGTGGAGTCCGGGACCCCCGCGTAACCGCGTGTCTCGTGCAACCTGGCGCTTAGCAAATACCTGTGAAATATCGTAAAATTAGTTATAAAATTAGTCGTTCGTCTCACTATTGTCAATTGTACTGCGTTAACTCTTCTCATACTTACCTGTCTCGCATATTTTGTCGTTTGTCGTAGCTCCACTCGCTCAGCACGTGGCACATGGGGCTCCTAACCTCGCCTGTCCAAAACTCGCGTTCGCGCTCGACCCGCGGTCGCGACGATAAACCAGTCGACACATTATCCCTAGCAACCCTAGGATAGTTCGTCGCGTGTACCCGACGAAGGCGGGCGGGATGTTGCGGATTAGGGAGAGAGAGAGAGAGAAAGAAGAGAGAGAAGTGTGTGTGTGTGGGGGTGTGTGAATGCATCTCGGAGTGCATTCTTCGCCTTGAACAAGCGCAGCTAACTGCGCTGAAATAGCCGCTCGAATTTGGCGCGACGGTTTCGCGCTAAATCTCCGTGCGCCAATCGCGAGCGAACGCGCCCCGCCATATCGCAAGACCGCGCGTGTCTTTAACGCTCGAAATACCTGTCGTTTTGAACGGTGACAGGTAACCGTCTCGTCATAAATATAACCGACGACAACAAGTGATTTTGTCCTCCGACATTCGAGAGGATTCTATCTTTATGTGGAAGGAACACAAACACGGTGTTCCTTACCTCGGAACTCTCTCGAAGGTCGGTAGAAAACAATCACGCTGGTTCTCGTTTTCTCTGGTCGAACGGATCTATCGTCGTCCAGTCGTTCGCGCGCACAGACAGCTTTCCTTTTTCGCTCTTCTCGATTCTCGTCGCACTTCTCGCGGGAGATCGATTTTTTGTCATTGGATTGCACTTCCGGCAATCATTGAACGCTTCTAATTGCAGTTCGCTTGCATTAGAGCATTTCTTTTGTGCTGTATAATTATTTGTAAAAATATATATTGTGTGCCGTGAACTTTTCTTTATTTTCTTTTTTGTGCCGTCCTAAACTTGACACTCGCGTCCGCGCACTAACTATAATCACTCCGCGTAGCACCGAACATTGCACAATTATCGTGGCGCGTTCACACGCGCCTGGCGCCCAATTTTACCGTGAGTTAATGAACGCCCCTAAGGGCGTAGAATTAACTCTTCTGATACCGATTTTTACCGTTTCATTAGTTAAACTTGGAGAATCTTTAAATTGAACGCTCCCCTGTCCGAACTTGGCGTTTCGGCACAGGAAAAGACGTTGCACTACTCAGGGGAATTCCTTTTTTCCCCTTTTGCACCGGCGCACATGCTTTGCCTCCCGTTCTATGATTAGCCGGGAAGTTTTTACTACTACTGCATATTGCGCAGTGCGCCGGTGCGTCACAGTCCTTGGCTGTGTCCTACCTGACCGCAGCGGTAGCAGGTATCGCTGCGGTCTACTTTGTTAGGGCATCGGGCCCTAACGTGTCCCCCCTCCAAACACTTATAGCATTGGAGGGGGCGCGCCTCCAACAGGTCGATGCGGGTACGTGCCCAGCCTATCTTGATTTGTCCTTTCTTGGCCAAGATATTTGCAGCTGCGACTGGGCAACGTACCCACACGATCCCCATTCCATTGGGGTTTTTTTTTTATGTCGCCCACACTTATCTCCTCCCATTCACATTTCCCCTCATTGGCGACTGCATTTCTTACGTCAAAGAGGGTTGATTCATCTAACCCCCTTATTCTTATTTCTGCAGTCTTGGTAGGGCGTTAAATTTTAATTCCCTCCTTATCTGCCAGGGCTACTTTCAACCTTCTTGCCAGGTTGTCTGCCAGTTCTTGGCTTTTCCCACCTGTCACTTCATACATGAGGGCCCCCGTTATGGCCCTCCTGATCTTGACGCCCTCCTTGATGCCGAGATCTTCTAAATCAATTTTTTCTCGTGCCTCGCGCATAACGCTTTTATATTGGCCGGGGGGGCACGTTATTGTTATTGCCGCTGTTTTTGGCTCTCTTCTTTTACGAGGGAGCTGCGGCTTTGGCACCTGTGGCTTTTGCGCCTGTGGTTTGAGCGGTTTTCCATCCTCCTTTCCCGTGTCCTTGGGTTTCTGCATGTTCTTGCTCCTCCTTCCAACCACCTCTGTCCATTGTGGGTCCCGTCGGGGTGTCTCCACAGTTTTTCGAAGTGGTTGGATTTTTGTTTTAGTTTCCTGTTTTTTTTTATTCTTTGGGACTATTATCTTTGTCCCGTTCCTCTCTTTGGCTAGCCTGGCCAGGGGGTTGAGAGTCGTTACCGACTTTATGATGGGCTTGGTCTTTGGCTTTGTTCCCATCTTTCCTTCCGGGTTTCTTGCAGAAGGTTTGGTTGCGATATCCTTCTGGTTTGTCGCTTGATTTTCTCCTGCTCCGTCCTTTTCGCCCTTTCCTCCTCCTTCCTTTGCGCGTAGGTGGGGATAGGATCTCCCAGTCGCCTGTCCATTTCTCTGGCGATGACACCCTCTATTAGAGTGATGAGGTTTTCCTGTTTCCTCCTTTCCTCATCTCCGCTCTCCTCCATTTTATGGATGCTGTGAGTGGTCGGAGTTTCTCTTTGTTTCTCCGACAACTTCAGCTCCTTGGGTGTCTCCCACTTCTTCCTATTCTTTTTGTTTAAGGATGGACCAAGAGGTGGGAAGTCCTCCTTTCTGAAGATCGATGGTTCCTCCACCACCTCCATTTCCTCCAAAGTTTCCTCCCTTCGGGTTGGTGAGAGTCCCCCACTCGTCTGTGGAAGCGGAATCCCCGGGGCCACTTCATATGCGGCCCCTGGGGTTCCCCCACCCCCGAGCGGAAGTGGGCTTTCAGCAATCCATTTCCCTGTCCTGGCCGTTCTTTGGTTTCCCCTGAGCGGTCTTATCCTTTCTTCCTCCGTATCCTCCTCTTGGTTTGTACTGCCCCCTGAAGCTGCGGCCTGTCTTTTGGGCATTTTAATTTGTTGTACAGTCCTTCTGAGGTGTTCGTTCTCTACTTTTAAGGCCCTTATCTGCTGCCTTAATTCCCGTAGTTGGTTATCGATCGGTTCCTCTCTCGGGTTTTGTGCCTTAAGCGCCAGCACGGTCGCCGCTGCGCATAGATCTGCTGCTTGCCGCTATCCCTTTCCCGAGTATTCCCGCTCGAGCCGCCACCCCCCGCCTCCAGAGTGGTGCTCCCTCCCCCTCCCAAAGTTGATGCTCTCCCACCGGTGCCCATCGGACCCGGTGTGAGGGCCCTCCCGCCGCATCTACGTCCTAGAGGAGAGAGATCGCAACCCGCAAGGACGAGCGATGCACGTCCCCGCAGGCGAGCGATCCCCCCTCTCGGTTCCCCCAGCCGCGACCGTCTCACTTCTTTGTGAGCAGGATTCGGTCGAGACCGGGGGGGGTTGCCCGTTTGGGGGCGCGGACGCACCGATCCACTAAGCGAGATCAGCGTGCCCGCGCTCCCGTTTCGCGAGAGGTCTTGGGGAAGGAACCTCGGGACTTAGGCGTTTCCAGCTCCCCCCTGACAACCTTATTCCGCGTCTATATTAGGCGCGGGTATGTGCGGGGCAAACCCCCCCCCTCGACCCCTGCCATCACCAGCGAGCAAGCTCGCCGATGGCGAGGAAAGAGAGAGCCCGCCCCTGCCCTCCGCTACTGTTACCTCCCCTTCTTCCTCCATCACTCTTCTTCTTTTCCTGGAGGCGCCCCCCTCCCGATCTCCGACACCGCCGGCGGGCAAACCCGCCGGTGCCGAAGAAAGAGAGGGTCCGTCCCCATCCCTCCTATTACTACTTCCTCTATCGGGGGCGTGCCCCTCCCCAATTCCCGCCACCACAGACGAGCAAGCTCGCCGATGGCGGGAAAAGAGGGGCCCGTCCCCGCCCTCCGTCTCTTCTCCTCTCTTCTGAGTGCTGGGGGTTATTTCTCCCGGCCTTCTCCCTCTCTTTCCGCTTCCTCCTTCTGCGAGAGGACTCTCGCAGAAGGAGGAGAACGCTCCCCATCTCTCCTTTGCCCCAACCATTGCCGACACAACTGTCGGCAGTGACAAATCGCGTCCCACTGCGGCCACCAGGTCAGCCCTTTCGCACACCCACGCGGGACAGTCCGCGAGGGTGTGCTGGGCGTCATCCCTTGGGTGGCCGCAGTGATGGCGGACTGCTGTTGGTTCCCTCCCTATACGACCCAGATACTCACCAAAGCATCCATGCCCGTGTGATGGGCATGGATGCCCGTCTGGGTCATCCTATACGTGACACCCCCATGTTCCCTGCTGAGCCACTGGTCTATGCAGGGAAGGACAGCCTCGACGGTCCTGCGGCCCGGCAGCCCCGGGTTTTGGAGGCGGCCGGTCCATCTCTCTATCAGGACCCGTCGCTGTTGGACTCTTATGAGGCAACGAGCACGGTCCGTTATGGCAATCCCCGCCGTTTGTAGTCCGCGTGTACACCTATATACTTCGGCGCACATGCGAGCCAGCAAGTCTGCAGGGGGTACTCCAGAGAGCACCCCCACTGTCACTCCGCTTCCCACTCCCACCTGTCCCTACTCTCTAGTTTCTTTCTATGTCCCTATGTCACCACTCGCTTACTATCCTGCGTGCCTTGCGTGGTGATGGGCGCGCCACTTCCTTCCTTTCAGTCTCTTCTTGTTCTCCCCTGCGCCCTCTCCTTGCTCTACTCTCACCTGTCCTACTTTCCGGCTTCTTCCTTACCATCTTTCTTTCCTGTCTTATCGACAGGATAATCTTTTATCTTCTTTCTCTTCCTTTTTCTTATTCCATTTTTTGCTCTCTTCTCTCGTTTCCTCCTATCTCTTATCTAATCTCTGTTCTCCTTTCTTTTCTCTTTTCCTATTCCTCTTCTCCTTTCTCGTCCTCCTTCTCTCTTCATCTCAGGCCGTGCGTCTTCCCGTGACCCTGCCACGTGTACGACTGTTCCACAGCCAATTTCAGGAGATCTCTCTGTCTCCATTTCTACTTTGCTCCTCTATTTCTCCTTCTGTTCCTTTCCTCATTTCTCCCTTTTTCCTTCCTTCCTTCCTACCTCCTTCCTTCTCTATCCCTCTTCTGCTCCCGTGTGAGTTAGTCTCCTCATGTCCACCCATCCTCCGCTTGTCTCCTTCTCCTCACATTTTCCATCACTTATCCATCACTCTCCTCCCTTTCTTTCTTCTGTCCTTTTCGTACCTTCTGTTCATTTTTCCTCACTTCACAACAGTTTCCTCTTCCTTTTTCCCTTCCTATTATTATACATTTTTCGGAGCACTCTCGCACCACACCTTTTCATTTGCCGCCATCTTGGCATCTCCGATATGTGATAGTAGTTTGATTCTTTCTTCTTGTGGCCTGAGTCAATTTCAAAAATAGTATTCGAGATTTTTCGGGTTATCGGGAATGGCCCGATTCTAACTTTATCTAATTTTCTTCTGTTTAGTCTTGATCCATTTTCTACGTAAACCTTTTATCCAACGTCAAATTTGTAATGTACTCTATTTTTATCATATCTACTTTTGTTATAAGTATGATTTCTTTGAGAATTTTTGTGTGCTAATATTCTGTCTTTATCTAGGTCTCTCTTTGGTCTCAATTCTTTTGGGATTATTGGGTCTATTTCTTCGAACAACAAATATTCTGGGCTGAATCCGGTGACCGAGTGTTCCGTACGATTACATTGTTCTGTACATTCTTCGATTATCTTCGACCATGCTCTAGATTTTGTCTCGTTTATCTTACATCTAATCCTATTCACAAGCGTTTGATTCAGTCTTTCGTTTAATCTGTTTGAAAACGGGCAGTTTACAGCTGTAAAGATTAAATTAATTCTTTGTTGTTTGAGGTAATTTTTGAACGCGTCTGAATTTATCCCGCTATATTGGTCTGTAGGGAGTGTTTGTATCTGGTGCTTGTCTTGAACTTTTCTCAGTAATTTTATAAAATCTTCTGCCGTTTGGTTTTTTGACGTCAGTATAAATGCGTACCTTGTAAAATGGTCGACTAGTAGATGTAAGTATCTTTTCGACGATCTGTTTCCTGCAAATCCACCGATCGTATCTAGGGAGACAATGTCAAATGGTTTTTCTGCTGGTCCTAGTTTCGCTAGTAGTCCGTAATGTTTTCTTCGCGTTTTATTTCTTGCGCATATATCGCAGCTGTTACATAATCGTTTCGTAATTTTTTCCATATTTTTAAAGTAGTAAAAGCTTCTTATCTTGTTCATAACTTTATTTTTGCAGATATGACCGTAGCTTCTATGTACTTTTTTGACTAGACTTTTTCCGAATTCTTCCGACACAATTATTTGTTTTTTATCTTTCCTGCGCTTATATAGTATTCCGTCCTCCTCATATCTATCTTTCATGTATATCTGCTCCTTATTAATTCTTTGATCCTGTCTTACGTCTTCCATATCAACGAAATTTACTGTTTTTATACCCTCTTCTATGTTTTCTAATTCTGAGATTACTGGATTTTGGGAGAGGCAATCCGCTTTTACGTTTGTTCTTCCTGGTCTATAAATGTCGAAATCAAATTGTGAGAGAAAGTGCATCATATCTCCTAATTCTTCATCTGTTCTGGATCTAATGTTTTGTCCTTCGAGAGGTTTGTGGTCGCAGACCACTGTGAATTTTTTCCCTATTAGCCGGTATTGCCAGTATATGATTGCTTCTTTGATAGCAAGGCATTCTAAGAATATTGCTTTCTTCTTTTTTTGGTAATCTTTTAATTTTTTTGAGAAGTAGTCGACTGGTTTAAGCTTCCCGTCCGGTTATATAATTGCCGGTGCGTTTGCGTTATTAGATTGCGAGTACCGGTTGTGAACACAATAAATTTTTTATTTTCATGAATGCTTCTTGGCAGTCGTGTGTCCATGAGAATTCTACATTTTTTCTAAGTAAGTTGTGCAATGGCTCCAGGAGTCTGACATTATCCAAGATATATTTTTGATTAAAGTTTACTTTTCTCAGAAATTGGCGAACTTTTTTTCTTGAGTCTAGTGTCGGGAAATTTTGAATGGATGTTAGGTTTTCAGTGGTCGGTCGAACCGTGTTTTTTGAAATAATATGTCCCAGGTACTTTACTTCGTTTTTTGCAAAGCTACATTTTACAAATTTTAATC